ACACGTTTGACAGCTGATTGCATTAACCGTTTATTTTTCCGGCACAAAATTCCAATGATTTTCGACTTAGGATGATGGTCTGAATACACTATTTTCAGTATTCGTAACACCGTCCCTCACACCCTGTACGAGTACATATAGGGTAAGCATAAATAATAACACAGACAGGCGTTAGTTGTTAAACACAATAAGAAATATAGTACAAAATAATTTATTTAAGACGGACCTGTTGGTCTAGTGGGAAGTAACCCTGACTGCTAAGCTTTTTCCACATCTGACACACAATGCCATCTAGTTTTAAACTAAACAGAACTTGTACTATGAAAGCTAGATTGACTGACAGAACACTTATTTACTTTTTTAATTCATACATATTTTACAAGGTTGCCTGAAAGAGAATGCTCTTAGCAATAAGGCCGCCCTTTGTACATTGTATATCTAACACTTTCATGTAACTATCATGCTTCTTGTAAAATGGTGTACAAATAAAGAGTTCTATCTATCTATATTTTACATGGAAATCACCCAAACTTAGGAACAAATATTTGCAAATCATACAATCATTTTTTCGAACCCGAGACGCTATCACTGCACCCCCGACGCAGGCAATGTAAATGATTTCATAAGAGTGAGACGACATATTTATTTTTTATTTAAAAATGTCCAAAAGTTACCCTTTTGACGTTAGACTAAGTCCATTATATCCAAGGAAGATCTTTTTCATTCATGGGTTATAATGAAATGTAAAGGGACCTTTTATGTTTTTTAATTAACGAAAATATCAATGGGCTGGTTTTAAATTTAAATAAAATACTATTAGTGACATTCTTATAACCTTTTATGGAGCTTTGGCAATAGCAAAAACTATGTTTAAACAAAAGAAATTAGAAGAACGACATAAATTCCGGATTGGTTTATAAGTACTTCACTAAATTACATACATATACGATGTGATAAACTTTTACGAACTAAATATATGTAACTAAAATGCGTTAGTACTTTGAACTGCCCGGATGGCGTAGTGGTTTAAGCGGTCGCCACGCCGCTCACTACTACGCTGAGTGTTGTGCGTCCGATACCGACATGGGACGACACTTTGTGTGATTCACAAATTGTTGTTGTGAGTCTGGGTGTTCTTTGTGTCCGAATCACGTATGTTTGTAAAGTCCTAGCGACACAGGATTTATTCCTAGTGCGGGTGTTGTCTCTTTAAAACAAAAGAAACAACAAAAAAAAAGAATGAATGTTAAAGGGCTCACTACTTCAGTTGCCACCATAGTACTTAGTGCGAGGTGTAATCTAAATGTTTAATTATTATCAACATAAAACTAAACTAAACTGTCTTGATGATACAGATAAATGGATAAAAAAAATGATCCTACTTCCTTTAAGCAACAGCATCCTAAAAACCTAAACAAAAAAATTATCATCTTTTTTTTTCATTTCGTTTGTCTTAACACATATATAACTTTAATTTACAAGCATACATATACGGCTTCCTTACAGCCCGCTTAGGTCGAGATTCTCGAATTTCCTTCTTACGGCATAACTGAGGCCCTCACGCGTGACTCGCTTATGACAGAACCATTTGGTTTTAGACGATGTACTTCTGAAATACCACTTCAAGGCTAGCCCTGTTGAAATGAAGATCCTAATGGATTTCCCGGTTTTTTTTAATAATAATATAATAGTAAGATTCCACCACATTCACATAACGCCATCTAGTTCCAAACTAAGCAGAGCTTGTATTATGGGTACTAGACAACTGATATAAATACATAATATATACTTTGTAAATACATACATATTATACATAGAAATGCCCAGGCCAAATCAAACATTAAATTTTCAAGCACACAAATGTCTAACTTGAGCGGAATCGAACCCGCGACCTTTGGCGTAGAAGTCCGATACATAAACCACTACGCCATCCGGCTGTCTAAAAATAGTATAGAATGGGCAGATTCAGGCGCAAAAACAAGCAATTTCAAAATCAAATTTAACATTAAATTGCGTAAAACGCGTTTAGTTTCAATTCACAAATTTTCAAAGTATCTTCTGTATCCATGTCACCGGGAAGTAGCAAAGTCTTTCTACCCCTTTGATCCCGGTCATGATGAATAAATACATTTTGTATATTCATTAACTAAACAGTTGTCAGTTTGTAACTTCACAACATTTCTGTAATTTTAAACAAGCTTCACTAAGTATTACTTTAGTACAAAAGAAAAAAACTGTTTATTTCTTTGATCCTTGCATCTGTTACACTGCTCATCTTTTTGAACCCATTTAACATTAATTTATAACTCCAAAAGGCAGTTCTGAATCCAGTTGAAATCGACTTCGCGGACTTTAAGCGGTCGCCAAACGCGTTAAACGTCGAGTGTTGTGGGTTGATAACCACATGGGACGACACTTTGTGTGATCCACAAATTGTTGTTGTGAGTCTGGGTGTGTTTGTGTCCGTTACATGTATGTTTGTAAAGTCCCCCGCGACACAGGATATATTCCTGGAGATGTCAAGAAAAAAAAAGAAAAAAATTGTACATTTACTTTAGAAGATTACATTTATTTTCTGTTATATTTTATTTTTCTTTCGTTTTGCTTTCTCTTACATTAAAAAATAGGATACGAAATATTTATTACTTTCTAGTACATTTTGTAGCTTCTGTGAAATTGCTAAATCAATGTCAATTGTGTATTATTAGAAATCAATTTAGAAGTAAGTGATAGTAAAAAAAAAACAAATTTTGGTGTCTTACATCCAATATATAGATTTTTTAAATTTTAATAAAACTATGACACTCAAGCTATGGAGACAAAATTGTGTCACTTACGAACTGTTTATTACTAGTATAGTACAAAAATTGCTAATCAAATATACATGTGAGGTAATAACAAAAAACGGATGAGTAAAAAACAGTAAATTAAAGTTTTCTGCACGTTTCAAGGTGGCTGTAGAATTTATTTTGGATATAAATCGTGTTTATTTAACTTTCTATCAATTTCTAATGTCATTAGAAATTAATATTAAACTGACAAACACAGCTTTACTGTCATGACATTGTCAAAATACAAGGCCACGAACCACTGGTTGAAAATCTTGACAGTATTTTGACAAGTATGCTGAGTCAATCTTAACAGACACGGTAGAAATAGCTGTTTCGTGTATTTGTATTTACACAGATGATTATGACAGTGACTGATTAGGGACCGCCCTTGTTGGATTCAAAATGGAGATAACAGATAACAGATGAACGTAGATTTTGTTACATTATGTATTTAGATGAACTTTAACCACATAAGTAAGTATTTTTTTAAATAATAAAGAAATATATAAATGTATCTATTAGTATTTAGTATCTACATAATATTGATAGTAATAAGAATAATTCTAATAAGCTAGTTTCAAACTAAGCAGAATTGTGAAAGCTAGATTGACTGATAGAATATTTATATACTTCTTTTTTGTAAATACAGACATAGTATACATAGAAACATTTGATCCGACCCTGGAATCGTACCCGAGACTTCAGCACAGCAGCCGCATACGCTACCACTGCACCACCACTGTAAGGAATTCGAGTTATATGTTTTTCTTTTATCCTGTAAAAATGATTGTGTTCCTAACCTAGGATGGCTAGGGACCTAGGATGTCTAAGTACATTACGATGTTTTTTTTTAATACGAAAGTATCTCTGTTGGTTTAGTTATAAGTGTTTTGTACCTGCTATTGACTTTCTGTAGAGATATATATAATCCTGAAAAAACATATTAATAGGTTACTTTTTTATAGTAGGGTAAAGCTGTACCGGTTGGTACCCCATAGTCATTGGCACTCTTCATTTAAATAAAAAATATTAAGAATTGATGTGTTAAACAATATTCAATCGATGCAGAACCTTTTTAGGTTTTTGAAGCTTATACAAATCAACCTAACTTTTAATATATACAGTTAGTAAGGTAAAACTAAACTTTTAAATAATGTTTATGATAACTAATTTTTATTAAACATTTTAACTCATGATTATTTAAATTGACTGCACGAATGGCCGCTCACTACTACGCTGAGTATTGTGAGTCCGATCCCCACATGGGACGACACTTTGTGTTATCCACAAATTGTGTCTGTCTGGGTGTTCTCTGTGTCCGTTTCATGTATGTTTGTAAAGTCCCTCGCGACACAGGATATATTCCTAATGCGGGAGTTCTCTTTTTTATAAGATACTAATACTATAAAATACTATATATGAAAAAATGGTAATTCAAAGTTTTTATTTAAAGTGTATGTATTTAAAGTATTTTTACATAAAATTTAGTTTGAAAATGACAAATTAAACTTAAAAATTATGTGGCGAGCTCAATTATTCTCTGTCACTTTCCCTGCTAGAACTTAAAACCATGGTTGCGACACAATTTCAATAAGACAAGCTAATATTTTTGGTAGGCCATAAAGTGTTCTTTAAATAAATAAATAAAAATGAACGTTTATTTATGCCTGTTTACTCATTTGTATATGCATTTCATTATATTTAATTAATTTTGTATTAAAGGCAAAGCAGACAACCTCGATTTAATATTTTCTTTGGCGGTATCGCGGATCTGATTCTTATGTTTATCCTAGTACCAGGGGCTCGTGAAGGTCCTCAAAAGGCTCTCGACGTTGTAGCTTTCTTTTTCTATGTGACATATACGTTATACCTTTAACACCGTTTTGGTCAACCGAAGTCTTAGCCTACAAACTTTAGTAGCCTACATAAGAATTTATTTTAAAGATCTCGTGTCACGCACACCCAAAAAGATTACGGAGGTGTTCACATCTCGAGTCATGTAGTCAACGCTGTAATGAAAATTTCATCAGAAAATTTCGCCTTTTCTCAGTCTGCCACTTAACCTCCTGCTAAACCTTTGTTAATAATTTATGTGGGACTTAAGAAAATTTATCTACTACCTTCGTGCCTTTTAACAAAGAACATTACTGCATAAAATATTCATAAATTATGCTCGGGAGGGTGGAATTACTTGGTGTAGTCATAGACGGTAATCTCCTGTTACCATGTACTTTTCATAATAAAACATTATCGCATTCTAAGCTGTGCTGTCAAAGTATATAACATGCAATCTTGGTACGTTTAAATGGTGTGATTTCTAAGTTAATAATATTATGGAAATCGTTATAGACTGCGCCAAGAGCTTTCTGTGTAGCTGGGTTTTTGATACAGATATTTTGAAAATGGTTTGAAACGATTTTTACATAGTTCTTGTTAAAGTAAATAAAAATAACAAAAAATAGACCTAGATATGATAAAGAAAAAAAAAAATAAGAAAATATTTTCTCTAACATTCGATTACTATCCGTGTGGTGACGGATTAAGAATACGGAATGTCACCAACTCTATTCATCCCGCGGGTGTCGTAAAAGCCGAATAAGGGAACAAACTACGCAGGACAACAGCACTACAAAGAAAAGGAAAACTTGAAACAAACCCCGTACCAAACCGTCTGGCCAGCGTGGTATGAGGCGTATGTCCAGCAGTGGACCATTATAGGCTGTTGATGATGATGATGTTGATGAACATTCGATTGAAAACAGTGTGAATCAGAGACAGGTAAATGTGTACACACACTTTACAAAAAAAACGGCTAATTGCCGTCTATCTACCAGTACTTCTACAATCTGTACAAAATGTGAAGTAATCCATCACAGTGTTTTCTTGTTGAATAATTTCCTTAGCCCCGATCGTTATAAATATCTATTTTTTTTTTTCTCTAGGATTTTACTCCTTTTATAAGCCCAATACGTATAACCAAGCAGTACCGAAGGCTTTTAAAATAGCATAACACTACCAACAGCAGTAGAGTCACTCACACATCACAAGTTTCTCTGTGGTTTAATTAATCCTGCTCATCAACTAAAAACATAGCTCTACAATGAAATAAACAAGAACTAAGTGCTTCTTCTTCTAAACTTCTTAGCCTACTTCTTTTAAAGCAATGGGATGGACAACATTTTCCCATTAATCACTAAACTGCCTCTATCTAACCTATGACTTTTCATCATCATCATCATCAGCCTATCGCAGTCCACTGCTGGACATAGGCCTCTCCAATTGCACGCCACTTAGATCGATTGTAGGCTTTTCGCATCCAGCTCCTGCTAGTCATCTTGCGCAAATCACTCCACCTGACCTGTGGGCGTCGGTCTCCACTCAAAACAGAATATAATAACTCATAATCGAATATTATTAAAATTCTTTATTCGTATTTTCTCCTCTGTATCTAATTTCTGATACTGTAGTCAATTCGATTACCTTGAATAGAAACTATATTCTTCTGGATAGCACAAAAAAAAGACAATTGTTCAATATTATACAGTGTAGCCTGAAAAACCTACTTATACCTAACCATAACAAAACTATATTTTCTATCGTTATTATAATAAAGAACTGAACAGAAATATGTCTTTCTTATTATCTGCAATAATACCCAGCCGTTATTGCCATAACTGGTATTACCAAACGAGAAAAATGGAATAATACAAATAGATCTCGATGCAAACTTTGTTTTCTTGTGCCTCATAAATTAATTTGTATTCATTGTGTACATGCTTCCCTGGTCTTATGTTCTCCTGGTAGCGTAGCCGGTAAAACTTGAAGCTTTTCATTTTAATTATGTTTCTTGAAAACTGTGTACTTTATATTTACAACATGAAATAGTTTGTTCTCTTTTGTTTAAAGTATAAAAAGTTAATGTTATGCTTGTTAGCTATAGAATGAAAGTTTTTAAAGCAGTTTTTAAAGCGAAACTTCATTGTAAGAAGAGTTTTATAAAATCGTCGTATTTATGGTAAACTGGCTTTTGCCTGTGATCCTTCCTCAAGAGTCAAACTATGTCCAATTCAAATTTCAACTGAATCGGTTATTGATTCCCAATACATACCTTCACCCCCTTAAAGAACAATTTATGGAATAAACTATCCTATGTCCTTTCTGAGGATCGAACTATCTCTATACCAAATTTTATAGAGCTCTAAAAACCTAGCAGCAATCGCGGTTGATTTGCTGTCATTTTTTTAAGAGTTCCGTTGTCTGTCTCCGAAACTCACCATCAGATTTATATGAAATTTAAATGGGTCCATGTCGAGATAAACCCCTTTCGAACAAAAAAAGGAGATTGAAAATCCATCTATATATGACGGAGTTATACCCGAACATACATAAAAAAACAATAAACATCTGAATCAATGACCTCCTCCTGTTTAAAGTTGGTTAAAAATACTTAACGCCGTTCTTAGAGGCTGTGTAATAAATAGCCTTTAGTATATAAAAGTAGTTACATTTATTTTTTTATGTTAGAGGGGCAGACGAGCAGACAGGTCACCTGATGGAAAGTGCCGTCCAAGAACATCTGCAACTTAGGCGTTACAAACGCGTTGCCGGCCTTTGAGGAAGGACTACGCTCTTTTCTTGAAGGTTTGAAGTTCGTATCGGTACGGAAATACCACAGACGATAATTTGTTAAACAGACTGGTTGTGTGACGTAAAATGTGTCTCGAAAAGAGCACAGTAGTGGAGCGCCAATTATCCAGGTGATGGGGATGAAAATTTTGACTTATGTATGTTTTCTTCTACAAATTTCAAACTTAAAATCATCCAATGTATTAAGAAATTACACGTATATTAAATAGTCAATCAACTGGATCTAAAATTGACTACCATTTTACTTGATAAACAAATTTAATTACACAACCCACCCAACTAAAAATAAATGTTATTTATATATGGCTCGTTGGCTCCAGATTTAGAATTGGAAAGCTTTAAGGGACGCATATAAGCCTCATCTTTAACGCCCTTTAAAAAGGTCAGGTGATAACGAGGGAGAGTGGAATCATTTGTATCAGAAAACAAAGATGAGAGCAATTTGATAATCCACAGGCATACATAACATTAAACTTATGGTTCCTTCTGAGACACTGGAATGGTTCTCCACCTATCTTCGGGGGCGACAGCTGTGTGTTCGTGTTGATGACTTATCATCAAGTTGGTGCGACCTCTACGCTGGCGTCCCACAAGGCGGAGTTTTATCTCCTCTCTTATTCTCTATATTTATTAACCTCAGAACTCAACATCTTCAGTGTGCGTATCACCTGTATGCTGATGATCTGCAGCTGTACTCACAGGCAAGGGTAGAGGACGTAACGCAGGCTATTGACGAGGTCAACAGAGACCTTGAGGTCATAAAATCCTGGTCGATGAGATTTGGAATAAATATAAATTCTGCATTAAAAAGACTGTTTTTTCACACAGATATCAGAGGAATTTGCGATATTCTATGGAGAGCATCTGTTATAATTATTGTGTCGTGCCGGAGGAAATTGGAAAGAGTTTTTATAGTCTGTCTTGAAATTGGAAAAAAAATTTCCATTATAATTGACACGTTTTAAATACCTGATAGTGTCTACTTAGTTAGTTTATTTTGACAGTTTTGTTTTAAGGTATTTTGTTTTGGTTCCCAATGAAATTATCCGGCTGATACCAATAGTTCCATTCTCTAGTTACTGTATAGTCAATAGCTTGTTAGATAAATGAAATGATAGGTGTATTTTTGGGTATTTTTTACTTACTTTAATATTTTGATTAATTAGTAGCGGACTGGAGTTGTTGTCATATACAATTAAAACATTTTATATTTATAACTTCGACACGATATACAACCCGGTTCAAAGATGGTTTTTATCTATTTTTCTTGTCTGTATTGATTTGATTTATCATCAATGACATCACAATATGCCACAACAAGACGTGGCAGGGTACAGCTAGTTATTTATAAAAACTCACACCTTTTCACACAGTGTTGACATTTGAAAAAAAAAACGCAAACCTTAAAAGTCTCTCGTTCATAATCATTCATTCATTCATTGTTATTTTTCTTATTACGTGTAACTTTGTGTAATAAAGGATGTTCTTTCTTAACTTTTACCTTTCACGAGCTATGATGTATAATTATGTATATACACGGTAATTAACGCGATCACGTGATTGGTATTTACATACCTTCGAATTGTATGAAATTTGGAAAAGACTGCTGGTCTGTTATGCGTTTGGTCACGGATTAAAAATACGGAGTGTCATGTCTATTTATCCTTAGAGAGCCGACTAAGGGAGCAAGCAGGACAACAGAACTGCAAAGAGAAGGCAATATTGATACAAACCCTGTACCAACCTGCCTGCCCAGCGTGGTATATTAGGCCAAAACCTCCTTTCTAAGAAGAACTAGGCCTGTGTCTAGCGGTGATGTGTGCTGGTCTGTTCCTCTAATACTTAAAGGGTGCCAACAAACTTGTGTCTCTTGAGTCATAGGTGTCTATGGGTGGCGGTAGTCATTTACCAGCTGATTGTTCGCCCCTATAGTGTAGAAAAAGTTAAAAGAATTACATTTTTTAACGGGGGGAGGGGAGGAAATTCTCTTTCAAATACCGAGTAGAGTTTGTTTTGAAAGTAATCTGTAAATTATATAACCTTACTTTATTCGTTTTCTGTTTAAGAATAAAAATATCAATAATATACCTATCAAATACATACTCAATAGCTTGCTAGGTTAATTAGCTGACTGGTGTATGTTTCAACGTATTTTTTTTATGTTTTTGAAATACTTTAATATTTTGATTAATTACCCCGCCGTTTTGAGGACGAAGGGGTTTATAGAACATTTACCAATCTAAAACCATCCCGGTGTTCCACTGCTTGAACACGAGCCAAAACAGTTATTTTTGGAATCTCTCTCTTTATAACTACAACAAGCTTTATCTCACGGACTAAAATATAAAATAACCGGTTCAATTAACCAGTGGAATCCAACGGAAGCACCAATTTCGCGTCAAAATGTACTAATGAACTTTTTCAATAGTAACAATAAAATTGTATTGAAAACAAAATTGTCGCGCTTTGCAAAATTGCGTCCATGATTGAGCGTCCATGATTGAGTTGAGCCACTAGTCACGGTATTCTATTAAATCGTTTTCGCATTTTATATTCGAGAAAATCAACCTGATATGACATATTGCAGCATGGCTTATTATGCTAATTTTGACACTAGCGTAGAGCTGGCAGTCTGTTAAATACAGGCTCTGCGATAGCTGCTATGTCATGTTTGTAAAACATTCTAATACTTAATCATTCTGAATAGAGCGATTACACGTGTGGACATAAATACTATACATTATTAATACTAAATAAAATTAAGAACAAATTTACAGACAATATGCTATGTTTATAGTAATAGAAATGTAATCAAAATCAAATTAAAAACTTTCGTAATTGGCATTAATATTTATTAAACACAAATATTTTTAGTTTAGACTAGTTTTATCATACATCGCAGTAGGACGTCTGGCTTAAATTTGATGATTACTTTTTTGGACTGAAACTAATTTAAACTAGTTCAATTATAAATTAATTAAATCTAGGAGCTGTCTACAAAATACCACGCTAATTGGAAATGGTAACTTAGCAACGTGACTTACAATTTATTCCCTAATCCTTAATCAAACATTGTTCATAACTAACAAAAACATTCAGGATTGAAATCTCCATCAAAAAGGTTCACTATCATGTCATCAACATTAATTTTCTTTGTTGTTGAATAGATTGTAAAAATGTACGAGTTTTGTTACAGCTTCCGTTCCCCGTAATAGGAAGTGATGGCAAACTTGCCGCGCTTACTTTCTTTATTAGAACTGAAAACTGTATACAAATTGCATTTTATAGAAAACGAATACAATAACAAATAACATAAAACGATACAGTTACAGAGATGACCACCAATAAGAGTTGTTTGTGAACAAGCAAGCCTTTTTGATTAGTTTAGAAACTATGTATATACTAGCCTAACTTTTGCCTGCGACTACGCCCGCATGTTTCGGTTATCGAGGTAAATAGTGGCCTATTTTACTTGCTGATACTTAGCTTGCTATTAGCGAAAGAGTTTTTTAATTAACAAATAAACTCACTTACACACATTTATAATATAAGTATTGATTATTTCGGGTATTAACGCGCTCACGAGTGGTATTAAGTACATACCTTTCAATTGCATGACGTTTAGACCACGTTGGCCTTAAAAGCATGCTGACTCAGTCAGTCAATTAATTAAGCTGTCATTACCGTAAACAATTATATGGGTTGGGACGCGATAGATTAAAAGTTAGTGAAATGAAATGAAACGATTTCCGCAATTTTATTTGGGGTTGGCACAATTTGTAACATTGCTAATAGTTTTGGGTGCTTTCTCTTATGCAACACCAACCCTCTTTGGGGAGTAAACCATTTTCAGATCGAATAAAGAAATAAGGTAAATTGCAATAATAAAAATAAATAGAATGGCAGGGAGGATTTTGCGAGAGAGACTCGAGTAGTTCGTAGGGGCCGGTCGTGTCTGGTTCCCCGGCTATTAGTACCCGGCGAAGGCGTGCGGTTTTAGTCGGTTCGAGTCCGACATGCCACCGACAGGTGGTATCCGAGGGGATTTCCGCACGGAAAAAAAAAAAAAAAAAAAAAAAAAAAAAAAAAAAAAAGGGGCCGGTCGTGTACCTCCAAAGGGAGGTCTACTGGCCATTAATGTGAATATCTATAAAAAATGATTGTACGGATGGCATAGTGGTTTAATTAGTCACCTGACCTCTTACTGCTACGCTGGGGGTTCGATCCCCATATGGGACAACACTTTGTGATCCACAAATTGTTGTTCTGAGTCCGGGTGTTCTGTGTCCGTTTCATTTATTTTTGTAAAGTCCACCACGACGAGATATATTCCTAGTGCGAAAGTTGTTGATTTAGAAAAAAAAAGGAAATGCTGCTGTCTTATAAGTTATTCATCATCATCTTCATGAACAGCCTTTAATAGTCCACTGCTGGACATTGGCCTCTCCTTAGAAAGGAGGTTGAGGTCTACTATACCACGCTGGCCGTGTTGCTATAGGGTTTGTTTCAAGTTATTACTTCTTTTTTCAGTGCTGTTGGTCTGCATAGTTTGCTCCCTTAGTCGCTCTTACGATACCCAAGGGATAAATAAGGCTGGTGACACTCTGTATATAAGTTACTAGCTGACCCGCGCAACTTCGTCTGCGCCTCTCAATGGTAATAAATTTTGTCCGTTTTTGAAACATTCTTCATTGGTGCTCCGCTCCTATTGCTCTTAGCGTGATGATATATAGCCTATAGCCTTCCTCGATAAATGGGCTATCTAACACTGAAAGAATTTTTCAAATCGGACCAGTAGTTCCTGAGATTATCGCGTTCAAACAAACAAACAAACAAACAAACAAACAAACTCTTCAGCTTTATAATATTAGTATAGATTAGTTGCTTCACTTTCAGTTCTTCTAAATTTGATTACGGTAACGGTCTGAACGAGGTTTTTAAGTTAAAAAAAAATTAAAAAGCGACTTGTCTGCTCACTTTTCTTATTGTTCCAATCTCATTCGAAACTGAAAGTGTGAAAGTGTTCTGAAACTAAAAGTTATTGTTTTTTACCTATAAATAAATGAAATAAAAATAATTATGTAACGAATTCTTGTAACTACATAAATTTCTCAAATAAAACAACACGTATTCTTTAAAATACTTCTTCGAACTCTCTGTGACCCTGGTACTTTTGCCCACAGTGATAGCCACGGCACACAACATCACATTTCTGGAGGTGCCGCGGTACGGCGATCCACACCACGAGGCAAACCTTGTATGTCACTATGTGAGTGAGTTAGATGATCCAGCGCTACACTCAGTCAAATGGTACAGAGGAAGTAATGAAATATTCAGATTCATGCCTGGACAACAGGTGAGTTCAATATTATATTCATATTAATAAGGTATTGAATTAAAAAAATATTTAATCATGTTTTGCTAAACCGCGGAAGCAACAGCTCTAGTTCCCGACTGAGTATTTATATATTTTATTAAATTTATGTAGGTTTATGTATGCATGTGTGTTTTTATATTGTGTATGTTTATGGAATTAAATTATGTTAATATCATATTTTATTTTGCACCTACCGCATCATATTTCTACATCACCTGAAGGTTGACTGGGAGAGAATGCCTAATGGCATTAAGTCCGCCTTTGTACAATATGTGCATTAAGTTTAAAATAAATAAATAAATAAATAAACATTTACACGTTATATCTTATCTTTCGGCTTTAACTAGGAGAAGATCAGAATTCAGTCAACTTGCAGTACACTTATACTGACATAGAGTGCAGAACGAATAACGACTTCCATAAATACCTGGGTTAGGCCAGGGCCCTGCGGCTATAATGCTTTTCGATTGCCAGAATGCCTTACCTGAGATCTTTGTACACCCAGGTCTCATGCAATAGCTCCACTCGGAATGGAATATCTTGAGGTTTTAGTTGGTTTAACTCCAGCAAACCAAATATGCTCATGAATAAATAAAGACGATTAAAATAAAATAAAATTTTACTGTTCAGTTTTGTAAATTATAAGCACATAATATATTTATGTATTTATTTACAAACGACATTAATTAATTATATCAGTTTTGATTGCTAATTCATTGATTTCTAACATTCACACAAAAAGTGTTCGTTTTTTATTTAAGATTTTACAGGAGCCCTAACAGCGTTGTTAAATTATATACCCTAAAGCTTTTTGCTCTTTATTAGAAAAAAGCCTGAATTGGTTGGGATTGCTCCATCTACCTAATACGCGATAACATTTCGTACATAGCTGTAATGGTAAGAACGCGAGGTACTAATGAAAAACCCTGCGGCTATGAATATACACTTCTCAGAAATGTTTCTAAGGCCTTTTTGTTTTAAGTACGAATACTCACTGTATTGTTCATTTATAAAATATGGCATGGAAATTTGTGATAAGGTTCCATCACAGTTATTTGTGTTTGGGTTTTAATGAATTGATATTTTTATTAGTAAATAATTTACATGCAGCCAATAAACTGTACAAGAAGTAGTTAAGTTATTATTTTGTTTTAACTCTTAAATCTCTGATGAAAGATTTTTTAATTTTCGAATAAACCTTCATAGTTTTCTCTTTCAAACACAGAAGCTATGTTCGTACTAATTAATAAATCCAAAATTGAAATCACACTACGGTTCATAAATAACAGCTTACCATTACTCTAATCATGCGCATCTAAGTGACCTTGTTTCTGTATAAATATATATCCATAGTTTTTCTGAGTAATTAATTTTTTGCAGCCTTCCACAAGAACTTTCAACTCTACCGCTGGAGGAGTCAGTAAGGGCACATGCAACTTGAATAGCTGTGCCATAAGTGTGGTCCTTCCCAGGACTTATAACACAAAGCTGTCCTTTACATGCGAAGTGTCAACCGAAGGCCCAAGGTTTGCAGTCGCTAAGCAAACAAAAAACTTGACAATAGCTGGTAAGATTGTTAAGACTCGTTTTGTAAAGTTTCAAACCTTATATTACTGCGATTAAGTTCCTATTTTGAGATCTAATCGGTTCTGAAAAACTAAAATACATTAGCGTTTGATTTCGTTTTTTGTTTTGTTAAGTATTGCAATAGGTGCTTGTTTTTTCAAACTTAACCGATAGAAAGTGATAATAGGGCCTAAGATGGTACACAGCTATCCAGTGATGCCTATTTATTCTACTCTCACATAATAAATTAAATATATATGATAAATTACACACACACCAAGTGATCATATAATAATTTGGCTTGGGTAGGAATTGAATTCGCGACCTATTCTTTAACAGTTAGAATTACTAATATCTGTACTAACAGGCAACAATAATAACATAGTCATATTTTTTACCCTAGAAGAACACATATCGTCTTTTATTGTTGAATAATAGAAGCATAACATTGCTAGAAAAAAAACTGTGAGGTCTCAAATTTCAGTTTAAGAATAATTTCTCTTTAAAATCTGAAACTTGATAAATTTCTTTGAAATTTCCAATTTATTTAGGATTGTAATCTTATTCTAGTCTAATAAAGTTTGATTAAAGTATTAAATAGCAGCCAACAATAAATTATTTTTGACCTTTCTTCAAACCTGGAACATGAAACCTTATTTTTGTTTGCGCAGTGACTTTGAAAGAAGACCCAGTGATATTGGGAGTGCCGGGCACGGTTCAACTAGGGGAAGATGTCTTGCTCAATTGCACTTCACAGCCGGCCATGCCGCCGGCTAATATAATGTGGTACATAGATGGAAGACCAGAGGTCAGTCATGTAAGTGAAAACAATTTAATCTAACTTAACATTATTGAGTAATATTCTATGGATGATTTACAGAATGGTGCAATGCAAGCTTTACACTGTGAGTTAGCTAGCACTTTTGGAACGAAGTTCCTTATCGCGCGTTGTGAAAGGGGGCTAGACGGAAAAAATTCTTACGAAAATTGCTCACGACACTTTTTGCTATAGTAAGCTATTGTAAGCTGTGCGGCGTCGCATGTTTCTCTGTCTGTCTCTTATAGAAAGCAAGCCAGATATTTTCATTTCTATCTTTTTATGTCAGTCATTCAGCGCCATATATCGAATAGATAGGAAATCATTTCTCAAGGAGATTTTACCAATGTATAAATTGTTTTAATTAGAAACCAACTGAAAAATATGTAGGTAATAGCCGCTTCCATAGATGGCGTTGTAATTAAAATGTGCCGAATCAGTTTTACTCGATCGTTACAACTTCGTTCCTATCGGGTGTCCCACGACACCACACGGCTTTTTTTTATTTCTTTTTAATTATATGTGCGGTACACATCTAGATATATGTAATATAATATATCTGAAGATAGGTGGTAATGTTCTTGTTAAATTTTTTGACTAAGCTATAAATTCTCGTCTTGGTAATGGGTTCAAACCCGCAAATTATTAAACATAAGTCGTCCTAGATTTTAACTTCAACTTTAATCAACTATAGTATAAGTTTTAAGGCTGGATAAATTTAACTTTTATTTGATTTGATAGTCACCGGCATCATAATTATCACATTGGCTACATTAACATTGGCTCCTTGAAAAGTCCAAACATAGAAGAAGATAAATTAAAGTCAGGTAAGTAGGGGGTTTTCTTTACCATAGGGTGAGGGAGATTGCAAGCCTCGGATAAGAAAGCGGGACTAAAACCGTGTACTTTTGTTTGGAAGCCTAATGAAACTTGGACTTCTAAAGACGAATACATTGATGATGTGATAGAATTTGAAATATTGTTACAAACCGAGTCAAATGACAAATGTTAGCCGTGGGAGAGCTATACCTCATATAACAAATAGACCGACTATAATGAAGTGATGATGTTTCGCAGAGACCCAGAGTTAAATCGTTTTTTCGTTGCTGTTTACTGAGTGTCAACAGCAACGAAAAAACGATAGCAAAAGTACCTACTGCTGATTCTGGGCAAGGGACTCAAAGGACGGCGATGTACTCGTGTTTCTTAGGTTGCAGGTGTACATGGGCACCGGTAATCATGTCTTATCATCAAGTCTTTTCTTTGTCTCATTTTATCATAAAGAACGCAACTTGAGAACCAATGTACCTAACAATGCGTCCTGAGAATTTCTCCTGTACTTTTTTTCTTCCTCGCCTTTTCCCACTTTAGGTGCGTCGGCTCTCTTTATTTCATGGCGTCAAGACATTCTGTCAAGAGACGTCGGATCGGGTAAATTTTCCTTACTGGTCCACCTTGTCAAAGGAGCTGCTCTTCTGCAACTCTAAGCCTATCAAAAGGTAGGCTTAGAGCCTTTATCATGACGTGCCGCTCTGACCTTCTCATGACATGTCCATATCACCTCAATCTCCTTTTTAATTATAACAATAATTAAAACAAAACACAAGCGCACCTTACAGTAGTAGAATGTGATGTGTAGGACCTAAAATCTCATGTACTATCTGAGCACGAACGTCACATTAAAACCGTTGACTTCACCGGTTTTCTGCTACACACTTCCGTCCCATTTTATGATATTAATCCTAAAGATTGCAGAAAAGCGAGAGGGAAGATGTTACTCCTTAAAAACTTTAGTGATATGCCTACTGAATAAATATATACTGTAATCAACGTGTGTTTCGCCCGCAACAGCCCTTTTTTCGAAGAGTGTAGCATCCTACTATAAAGCCTTTATTTCTAGATACTCCTAAGTAAAACCGTATATCTATAATGCTGCGGTCACACTATCGCGACAACGCCAAGTAAGTTTGGCCATCCAATTCTTTAAACCGCGAATCGTTGAGACGAAACCAAATAGGGTTCGGATCGCTGTCGGCTTTCTATCGCACATTAAGGGTTTATCGTAATAAAGTTCAGGCGATTAGCTACACTTCGCAGTCTTCAGTTCATCTGCAGAGTTCGTACACGATTTTTGTCGCGAAAACGCAACACGAATCTTCGCCCAGTAATGTGGATGTAGCATAATCAATGTTGAAAATTGCGTAACTTTGAGTGTGTCAATGAGAAAACATACAGTACATATAGTACAGAAATTTTACTACTCTTCTATAAAGAACGTTTCCCAGGATCCACTCAATCCTGGGACACGTTAGTGCTATCAAACGCGAGAATTATTCTAATACATTCATGGCCCTGTTTGTAACGATTGTTCCGATGCGAAGGGTGCGAGTGTTTGGTGTGTCATACATCATTCTAACAAATTGTAATGTTGCAAAGTAGATTGTGTTTTATGGCCACACTGGCACTTAACACTTGTATATAGTCTTATACGTACAGATTCTTTTTATAGAAAGTATTTAGGGAGCACATGAAACTTTTTACTGCAAAGTAAAAATTGGTTTGACTGTCTTTTATATATTGAACAATTGTGAAAAGATTGCTTTTGGTGCCTTAAATGACCCAGCAGCGTCATCATCATCAACAGCCTTAATTTGTCTGCTGGACATAGGCCTCTCCTTAGAAAAAAGGTTTTGGCCTACTATACCACGCCAGACGGGTCGGGATAGGGTTTATTTCAAGTTTTCCTTCTCTTTGCAGTACTCTTGTCCTGCGTAGCAGGCAGCAGCGTAATTAGAAAATATTTTTTAATTAATTACTAAAAATACATCAAAATTGAGTTTAGATCTTTGTTTTTTATGGCATAGGAGGGCAAACCGAGCAGGCAGGTCATCGGTGGTAAATAACTACCCATGGACACCTGCAACTCAATAGTCGAGTGTGAGGGGGGGAGGAGAGGGGTTTTGTTTCCGGTAACCTCACTCACTCGTTATAAAGCAACGAAAAAATTGCTTAACTCTCTTTTCTGTGAGGCCGTGGTATTGTGGCAACTTCACATACTGTCATACAAAGAAACATACTACAGCGCCATCTAACGTAGACACAACGAACTTCGGAGTAACTGCTAATCCTGTATCGCGATATTATCAATTGTCTTGCCGATTAGCATAAATACAACTTTCCAGGCAGCCCAACCAGGCGCCAGGCATGATCATTTTACCTGGTCGGAAGATACTCCCTTTGTGTTGGAGGGACATGACACCGGTTCCTCCACAGTATCACTCCAGTCGAACCTGTCCGCTTACGCCGAAGCGTAGATTTCCCACTGTTAAAATTAACAGGTCTACCATTCAGTTAACGACTCAAAAATAATAGCCATTTCTAATGAAATGGTATAAATCTAAATTAATTATAAATAAAAATTAATGTTTTACAAAGCATCGCCGTCTTCAGTGAGCCTTTAGTTGCGTAACAAGTTGGATTTTTCATCTCATGATTTTCCGCCCTTTCTTTAGGTGGAATATTTTCATTAATTTAAAGAAGACCAAAATTAAGTACAACTAATCCTACTTTGTAATGATTATTGCAATTTTGTTTTTCTATTATTGCGTTTAGAATTCGATAGACTCGAAATATCTTTGTATATTTTTTATATGATTCTTGTACAACAAACACCATGTTCTTGAATAAACTTGCAATCTCAGGTTGATTTTGTAAAACAAAACTAAGGATGCATAGTATGATATGATATATGATCGTGAACTGAAAATTTTTGAAGTAATAACTACTTATGGGAGGGTAAACTGCTTCGTTACGTAACGCGTTACGGCGCAGGTCTGTCTGGCTTCCCTTTCTCTCACGCATACGGCAGCGGTAGGCAGGCTCTTCCTGTCTTACTCTAACCCACAGCGCTAGCCGTATTTCAGACAGACGCTTTACATAAAATTTAAGAAATAACCTAAGCTTTTCTTAAGTTAAACAATTTCAATATTAAATAAATCAACTTAGATTAGTTTAGGTTATCACTTTTTTTATTTTAATATTAACCATATTTATTTTTTGTTAACAGACAGAACCCTGGTTGGTGAATAATACACAAGTGTCAGCAGCCAATGAATTTGGCCTTAGGTCAAGTTGGCGGTCCTTGAAGCTTCGTGTGGCAACTACTAAGGGCTACATGGCCTTAAGATGCGAAGCAACGCAACCTACTTTTCCACCATACACTAGGTCTACTAACAAGACTTTGGAAATCGCGAGATCACCACATTTGTCTATGTTTACAGCAGCAGGTATGTCTATTATATATTTTTTCTTCCTGCCTTCTCCATTTACCAGGCCCCAGAGGGTTTCTAATAATTATAATTGATGTTATAGTAAAAACAACTAATCGCGTTTCACACAGGGCCGTCTGATCCCAAACGAGGCATGGTATGTCTATGGTAACCAGACTGCTGATAAACATACTTAGATATTTCTAATAACATACACTTCATAGATTAATTATACCCAGACACAGAACAAATGGTCGCGCTCATCACACAATGATTGGTCCTGGGTGGCTTAGCAGTCAGGTGCACTAACCACTAGACACATAGGACCACATTTTTTTTTATAGTGGTCTTCCATACAAAATTGTATTATTTCGCTCTTGCCTTGTCTTCCTTAACATATCTTATCTAAGAAATCTGTAATGACTAGTTGATGAAAAATAAATTTGATTCTGTAAAAGCATTAGAACATATATTATGTAATTGAACAAATGCAACATTCAAACAAACAAACAGCACACATCACGGCGACATACATTAGAGAAAATATATACATCAATATATTAGTACCTATACATACAATACACTTACGCGTATAAACCCACAGGACTACCTTTAACAGCCTACGCTGAGACAAGTGTATTGAAGCCACCGGCCACTCTAGGAATCAGATGGGAAAATTGTGTGTATTTTGAAAGCAAAGGTATATAAAGTTAAAAAAATATTTAGTTCGACGACCTGGTGAAGGTGGCGGATGCGGGCAACTAGGTTGTTGTGGAGAGCCTTGGGGAGGTCTATGTCCAGCTGTGGACGTCTATCTGCTGAGATGATGATGATGATGGCAATTTATTTTAAAACTTTAAAAAATTTAATTGTATACTGTTACCATAGCTTACTGTTTGAAATCAGTACAAGCATAAAATAAGAATGAATTTAGATTTCATTACTCTCTGTCAAGGAATTACGAGGTTTCAATAATTCTTCTAAAATTTCTTCTAAATTTAACGTGATAGGGATCTATTTAAATAAAAATGTTACATGTTATTTAATCATCGATATTTGCGAAACAAGTTACATGTTTTATGTATTATCCGTATAAATCAAATTTTATTTCACAACAATTTCTGAAATTAGATTTTCAATATTGATATCGTTCCATATTTAAGATTCTGCTCCTATTCATCGCAATTTTCTGGTATGAGATATAATATAACGGACTACAATATATTAAATATCTTGTAAGAGATGTTTGTATATAATCACGTTTTCTTGGCACGTACTGAGGAAAACTCGGAGTTTGTTAACGCTCTGGAAAAAAATGTTCACGCTATATTTTTATCACGCATAACCAAGTTAATTTTCTGTACGCTTTATTTATTACAAAGAATGTATTTCCATTTACTTATTTTTTCTATAATAAAGTAAGTTTTATTTATGCATGGCTATTCATTAATATATTTGATGTCCTTGTACCTTGTTGATCATGATTTAATTTTATTTATTTATTAATGTACAAGTATTGTTATTAGCGGTTCCATGGCTAGCTACCATAATATTTGCCTGTTTAAAAGTTTTACATACGTAGGAGAAACTACGGCTTTTCTGAAAATACACAATCACGGAATTTTTTATCGGAGCCACACGGTGTGCCACTCTGCGCCTGTAATAGGAGGGATCCGGAAACTGCTGTTATTAAGACATCCGGACCCATCCTAGCGCCTGCCCGCAACGGCGCGGGCACCGCCTTCGGGTAAATTCTATATTTAAACGACGTCCGGCACACGCGGAGCCTCCTGGCGGCTGGCCGTTACTAATAACATCTGTCTCTACCGGCCATGGAGCCTATGACGGCCGGTAGCGAGATATCCCCAAGATGCAATGAAGACCCGGCGCTGCGGTGCCCAAGCCGGGCAAATTGCCAGCGTGTGCTGAGCCGAGTCCTCACTGCAATCGCAGTGGTGACAGGCATTACCTAGCCCAGTCTTCTTCAGCATCCTAGAATTAACAAGAACTTAACAACGACAGCAGTGTGAATCGCCTCACACATAGCCGTCTGATCCCAAACTGGGCAGAGCCTTTACTTTGATAACTAGACTACTATTAAACATACTTTTATATGTGTATTTACTTACCCAAATATTCATCAACAGCCTATAATAGTCCACTGCTGGACATAAGCTTCTCCTGAGAAATTAGGTTTTGGCCTACTATACCACGCTGGCCAGACGGGTTGGTGTAGGGTTTGTGTCAAGTTTTCCTTCTCTTTGCAGTGCTGTTGTCCTGCGTAGTTTGCTCCCTTAGTCGGCTCTTACGACACCCACGGGATCAATAGGGGTGGTGACATTCCGTATTCTTAATCCGTCACCCACGATCTCTGGCTTGGTAGTTAGAATCATTATATATTAGAACGAATCCACTAGTCAAATTCATTCACACAAAAAATACTAAGCCTATTACTGTTCCTAAACAAGCAAGGTTTAATGTATACTCCGCAGTGCCTTAAAGAAACATTCTCAATAGTCTTGTAAGCTAACGAGAGCTTGATGCTGAGAATAAACTATATACTACAATTATCAGTTCTAATCTAGCAAAAGTTTAATTGAATTTATTTACAGAGATCCGATAGCTAACGACCGTAGCTCTCATTAAAGTATCTATTTACGAATCAATCTCAATTGTTCTTTGTTTGTTAGTTAATTCTACAGTTGTGCTTCAACAGACGGCTAGAACTGAAAAAAATAGCTTCTAAAAAAGTACACTAAAGTTCTGTTAGTTTGTGTTTATTGGTGAAAGTAATACTTAATTAACTTTAAAAAAAACGCTTACATTGTGATTACACTGCATTCCATAACTTCCTACACTTCAAAGTGGACCAAATGGAAAGTATCCCTCCCAAATAAAATAAGAATTTCCCAAATCAGTTCACAAATAACGGAGTTCTGGGGTGACAAACTCATCAGGTAATCTTTTCAGATATTTTGAAGTCGGAAGATAAATTGAATCGAATCGAAAATACAACCGAATTTAACAGTTGATTTTTTTGTGTAGTTGGTTAAAATGCTTTAAACAGTTCATAGATTGTCGTTCAGTAAATACTTAATGTAGTGTAATACACTACGTATTGACGGATTAAGAATACGGAATGTCACTACCCCAATTCATCCCGTGGGTGTCGTAAGAGCCGACTAAGGCCGCAAAAGCAACGCAGGACACCAGCACCTCAAAAAGAAGGAAAACTTGACACAAACCCTATACCAACCCGTCTGGCCAGCGTGGAATAGTGGGCCAAAACCTCCTTTCTAAGGAGAGGCCTATGTCCTGCAGTGGACTAGTAAATGCTGTTGATGAAATACTTAATAAGTAGTAATTTGGAAAATTGATTGAAATACATAAATATTTTAAAATTTGAATGAGTATAAACTCGCTATTTTTTTCATAATTAAATCAACCTTTAAGTCAGTTAATAAGCAAAAATGTTGACTGTCTCCAGTGTCAGAAGTTAGTGAACATCCTACTTATCTTGTTTCAGTACCTTAGCAATAGTAATAAAGCCATATCGGGATGACTTGCATTCCATTCAAAGATTTCAACTATGAAGCCCTTAATTCTCTTAAAGGTTATTCGTCTAATATCGCAAAGGGTACCAAATACCGACAAGTTTCGCCGTGTGCTAAAGTTACCGTGAGGGCTTTGAAACTATTCGTATGAGATTCGTAGAGTTTATCTGTTTATAGCCAATCCACACCAAGTTTAAGTACGTACGTATATATTTAGATGACCAGCTTTGCTAGTAAATTTTATTATGCTTTTAGATGAGCCGAATTAATAAGTAACCGTTTTAAAAGCCGCTGTATCTAAATACTAAATGTGATTCGTATAGCACCCAGTGCTTTTTTCATTCGAATTCAATATCATTTTGTCACAAAATTACTAAACAATTTTGCTTAATTTGATATTTTAACTAATTATTATATTCAATTAAGTAAAAATAATAATATATAGTAGGTACCTATTATAAAGAGATAAAGTTTGTGAGTTTGTATGCTCGGAGTTAGCTCTGAAACTACTGGTTGGAATTTAAAAAATAAAGGTTAAAGTATAGGAACATATATATGCGATGGGTGTGTGTGTGTGTGTGTAGATGTGTGTGTTTGACTGTGTGTGTGTGCGTGCGTATTGATGTTTATGTGCATGTTAATGTATGCTGATGGCTTCATACTGAACAAAAAGTAGTATCTAGTTAAGGCGTCTCATGCGAAGTTCGAACCCACGATACTCGGCGTAGTAGGAAGCGGCGTGGCGACCACAACGCCATTCGCGCAGTCGAGTTAGCTTTAGAGTTTAGAATCGGATGACCGCGGTATTAGTCTGTTTATTCATCTTTAACTCATCTAAATTGAAATACATCTTAGCTCATATTATAAATGTGAATGTGAGTTTATTTGTTTGTTTGTGACGCTTTCACGCCTAAAACACTAAACCGATTTGAAAAATTCTTTCATCTTTGGAAAGCTACATTATCAGCGAGTAACATAGACATTTTTACCGACATACACACCGGAGCTTCCGGGCAAAAGCTATTAAATATATATATATCTATTGGTAACTTTATGAAAAGTAGACTGCTCTATTCGTGACTTCAAGAAAATGCAAAGATATGTGTTTACTTTATGAAGATATAGCCCTCTCAGAATGTCTCGTCTAGATTTTGTTATAATATATAATAATATCTCACACATCTCACACACGGCCGACTGATCCCAAACTAGGCAGAGCATTAAATACATACATATTATAGATAAATTACACCCAGACACAGAACAAATGACACAATATTTGTCCTGGGTGGGAATCAAACCCACGACCTCCGGCTTAGCAGTCAGGGTCACTAACCACTAGACCAACATCGTCTATCTAAAATGTAGCCATGTTTTATAATATGTAAAATCAGACCCATTCAGTTTAAGAACAAAATACGCTTCAGTCGACTGGCACTTCAAAGATTACATCTTGTTAATTCTAATGGAACATAATAAAATCAATATTGAATTTGTTGAAAACGCATTACTCACTTATGGAAACTTAGCGTCATAACTTATTTGAAAATCACTTAAACCGCAGACAGTTAAGCTTAAACTTCTTTACTTAGCATTAGCGAGTTCACGGCTTTATTTGACACTTCTCAACTTTCTAAACTGGTTTTAGAAACTTCGAGAATAAATATTGCTCCTTAATTAATGAGGTCTCATGAATTAGGAGATAATTTATTTTTTGGTTTCATTTCTTTTTTCTCTTTTCAATAAAATTTGTTAATATCTGATATAACATTATAATTCATCATCATCATCAACAGCCTTTAACAGTCCACTGCTGGACACAAGCCTCTCCTTAGAAAGGAGGGTAAATTAAACATTATAATTATATGAATATATTATATTATAGGCCAAAACGTCTTTTCTAAGGAGAGGCCTATGTATGTCCAGCAGTGGACTATTAAAGGCTGTTGATGATGATGATTGTAATTCACTGCTGGACATAGAGCTTTCATAACGTACACCAAAGCCCTAGTTCTTCCTTTACGATTCCGCATCTAATCCATTCTAGTTGATTTTCTTAAGTCGTTAGGACATGGCCTAAGGAGGTCCAACGCTACGCAGGACAACAGCACTGCAAAGAGAAGGAAAACTTGAAACAAACCCTATACCAACCCGTCTGGCCAGTGTGGTATAGTAGGCCAAAACTTCCTTTCTAAGGAGAGGCCTATGTCCAGCAGTGGCCTGTTAAAGGCTGTTGTTGATGATAATGATGATGATTGTAATTCACTGCTGGACATAGAGCTTTCATAACGTGCACCAAAGCCCTAGTTCTTCCTTTACGATTCCGCATCTAATCCATTCTAGTTGATTTTCTTAAGTCGTTAGGACATGGCCTAAGGAGGTCCAACTTTCGGTTACGGATTTGTGATCTCCACGGTTTGGTTATTTGTCAAATGTTATTTACTTTTACTTTATAAATAAACATAAATATGCCATGGTTACAAAAAATATTGTTAACCATCTTTATGAAAAAGAAATTGGTTTATTTTTTATTTGTTTTTTTTTGTCTGCCTGTATTATTTTATTATCATTTATATGTGTATATAAAGTTTATTTCTTAAAAGTCAACCTTAAGTTTGCGATGCCTCCCTGATATATTAATCAAGTCACTGGTCCCTAAAATATTTAATAATAATATTTTTTATTGACATAGAAAAGAAGTACAATGCTTACATACATACATATTATCACAACAGCATCAGTGAAAACTTAAGCAGTCAAATATTACAGATATTACATGGCGTCCCATGGCACTTTGCCTTTGAGCCCGTGGGTTTTCAAGATCCTTCTATCCTCGGTCTTCCTATAGTCATTTCATTTTATCAATGAGTAAAACCAAGTCAGTTCTGTCATTTTTGTAATAGTATTTATTATAAATTTATTTGCTTACTATTTTACAAAACAGAGATTGTTGCTTTTGTGTGTGTTGATCTATGGCTTTAGACTCTATATAAAAGACGATTATAAACAATTTTGAAAATTTTATGAAATAAAGAGAGTTTGAGTTTATTGAATTCGCACGTTTATCTCAATTTATTAGGCTTACAGTGTGTTCTTACCAAACCCTGTTGCATGTTTTTTTTTATGGAATATGGGGCACACGAGCAGATGGGTCACTTGATAGAAAGCGACTACCGCCGCCATTCAACGCCTGCAACTCAGGAGTCACAAGCGCGCTGCCAGCCTTTGAGGAAGGAGTACGCTCTTTTCTTGAAGGTTTAAAGGTCCGGAAATACCGCAGCCGATAACTAGTTCCACAGTGCGAGTCAAAAAGTGTCTTGAAAAGCTCACATTGGTGGGGATGAAAACTTTGCCGTGTATAAACTTACATGTATTAACTGTTGTTGTTTGTTTACAGGTTCCAGTTCAACTTTGTCGGAAGTAACAGTAGTAATGCTCACAATTTGTGTATCAGTACATATATTTTCTAAATGCAGTGCCTTGAGTGAAGTCTAATCGATACAGTAGTGAGGATAAGTGTCAAGCGGTTTAGAATAGTTAGATAACAATCGTATCACCCTGTGTTTACACGCCAATTGGAAGTATGGTGATGACAAGGTAAAATATTACGTATTGTAAATGATTTGAGATCATTTTGGTTTGAAATTGTGATGAGTAGAAATGATCTTTATTAAATGTGGTATGAAGTCTTGATTTTATTGCTTTGTAGCAACTGAAGTATTCTAATTGTAATGTATATTTATAACAGTCACTGTTTTTATTATTAATTATAGTACTGCGAATTATTAGTGGAAAATATATTCTGTTTTTATATCATAAAAAACAGTCCACGACAATGTACTCAAATAATTTGGACATATAAAACTTAGTCGCTGTATATATTATTAATTTCAATGTAATTAAATTTCAAACAATATAATGAGCTATATATGCGTCTTTATTTGATTAAACACCTTAGTGAGTGGCATTCGTCTATACTAATACTTACTAAAGCTTATGGATTTGTTTGTTTAGTTGAACGCGCTAATCTTAAGAACTACTAGTTCGAATTGGAAAATTCTTTTACTGTTGCATAGCCTATTTACCGAGGAAGGCTAAAGGCTTATATAACATCTCGCTACGACTAATGGGAGCGGAGTATTAACGAAAAATGTAGCAAAACGAGGGGTGATTTATTCCTTTTGAAAGACGAAGATGAAGTAGTGGGGTCAGCTAGTGTTTAATGCACTTATACAATTTTACTCCCCAGTGTTTTTTGGGAATGTCGACTAGTTTCCTGTTAAGGAGTATACCGTATTACAAGAGGTGTCTTTATCAAGCCCTTTCGAGCGCAAAACTAGTCAGACATGACTAAATATGCACGTGAATAAATCTAAATCTTTGTCTTATTATGTACTTATATGTACATTATTTATATGTTGACAGAGAGTACCAATAAAGTCTGGAATTATAAAAACACCAATAAAATGAAACAATGCTGGGTATATCAAAGCCTCTCCATATCAATTGTATCCTCGTAAATACGTAATATGAAGAGCCGTAGGAACGTTCAGTGATCTTTTGTTTCCGTTCACTATTCAATATTTATGTTACCCTGGTACAATCAGACGGGAATCTTTTTTGGCGTGTAAACATTGTATGCGTGGCTGTATTCTGTGGTTTACCATAAACACACATGAATGGATATTATGATTTTCACTTAAAAACTATCTTTATTTTCTAATAAAACATTTATTTATGACAACATGGAAAATATAAAGGTATTTATTTATTTTGTTCCTGTAATATTTTGTTCTAGGTAAAATAGGTAGGTAGTCATTAATTGTATATATACTGTTCTTTAAAATTTCAAATTTTGTATAGTTTTATTTTTAAATAACAATTAGCTCACAGAAAATCGTGATGCGCTATTAATTGAAACGTTATTAGGTTACGCAGTAACGTTAATTAGATATATCGTTATCTTGCCTAATCTATTATAAACAGTATATAACTATCATTTGTGTGAAGTAAAGGCATTGTTAGAATGTTTACAATTACGAGGCTGAGTATATGTGGTTATTTAATCATCTGAAAATCAGTTTATGCTATGATTTTGAATTCTACGTTTGTATTAAATGTCGGATCCCAAGTTGCGTTAACAATAAATTGTGTTTGCCGTTTCCGTAGAATTTTAATCAACATATATTGTGTAGTTAATTTAATTTTAGTTAATACTTCAAATATAATATAACATGAAAACCAACTAATTAAAAATTGGTATTGAAAAAAACCGTTACTGTGCAATCCAAAACATAATATTTATTAATGTCATCAGTTAGTATCATCAAACTGAAAGAGAGAACAATCAGCGGTCTGTATTATACAAACACTGTGATTTTACATCATACATTATGATATGTCTGATAACACACAAACACATCACATAAATAATACATATGTCGCTTATAATAACTGAAACTGTGACAATGATACAAAGGTGACAGCACTAAGAGAGATCACAACATAATATTCCAAACATGTTAATACTTGAATTTCACTGTGTAACATGCCGTTTGTAAGAGCCTTCTGCAGTGTTGGGAATTCGAGCCCCGAATCCTTTGTCAACCTCAATAAGCGTTTAGGACACTGACCGTATACAGTTTTACTCGCAATAGCGTTTTCCGTTACCGTTATTTGAAATTGCGAAACTAGTTTTAGACGAAGAATAGGTTTTTGAGTAGTCTGCTTTACTTTGATTTAGTTTTAAGATAGCATTTAATTATTTTTTTAATATTTGTTTTGATGCGTAACGTCTTTCCTCTCAATTTTTTTTACAAACTGATTGATTGATTTCGCAAAAAGGGACGGATGTATGTAACAGGAAGTCGAGGAAGTCCGCGCTATTATATTTGACCAATCAACGCGTACCATGCTACTCAGCCATCGGATGGTAGGTGAGATGTCAGAACTCATCATATTTGACTACTGTAAAGCTTGCTCGTTTATATATATAATATATAACTCTTTTATATAGAATATTACTGCCTCGGTGGTGCAGTGGTAGCGTATGCGACTGCTATGCTCGGATTTCGATTCCCAGGTCGGAACAAATGTTTGTATGATGTGCAAATATTTGTATCGGAGTTTTTATGTTTTCTATGTATAATATGTATGTATATAAGTATTTAATCAGTCGAATCTAGCTTTCAAGGTCTGCTTAGTTTGAAACTAGAATGCGTTGAGTGTCAGATGTCCGAAAATATTATTATTAAAATCCAGTTTGACAGAATACGGCCACGTATAAGTCTGGTGATACTTGTAATAAATAATATCGTAACATAAAATATTATAATAAATCAATTATTCTATGAATAGCAAGCACTGAATTTCGATGTTTTATGTCACGGAAAATAAAAATTTGTAATATTTACATATGTTGGAATGGCAGATGAAATGATGAAGCTATGAAATAATATAGATACCTACAATGTAAGGCCGTTACGTGTTGTTTTGACAGTTACACTTTGATAGAGTAGTGTATCGAACTAAACTTTAAATCTGCGTTTTTTGAAATTAAACTACTAGAAATAGATAATAATATTTTGTTTGTATATATTGTATTTATTCGTTGTTGCTGTAAATATGATGGTAGATAAATTATTTACTATTGCTATATTCTATTTTTTTTTCATTTTAAGCAACGATATTAAACGATAAAACCGCTATTTGTGCTGTAAATTTCTGAATTCTACTATGTTGGTAACTGACTATTTCATAAATGCGAATTCGCTTTATTCAACAGAATTTAAAAAATAAGCAGGTCCTCATTTTCGTTATATTTGTTTTTTATGTTTGTCACCTCAGGCCTTCGTCACTCATAAACCGATTTGGATCTTTTTTTATTTGGATGAATGTGTTTCTGTTCTGACTCACTCAAATTTAAAGATATAATGCCATTTCTATTAAGGAAGAATGTTGTTTTCATAATTTGAATGGGGTATAAATAATTTGTATTTTTACATAAATAAAAATTAATTTGTATTAGATAGCAGTATTAATTATAAATAAATTAATTGGGCAATATAGTAAGTACATACAAATCTGTGCAACCGAAAGAAAAGGCCATATTTTTTTTTTAATTAGTTTCAACTGTCAACACGACGCTGATAATAAATTGTTATTAGAATACCGTTACTGATATCGAATATTTTAAATGATTTATACCTTGTTTAGTTTCGTGAAACGAATTTATTATTTTTTATGCACTGTATAAGTTATCGTTAAAATTCAACTTGAAATGTATTTATGAACTAAATTTTTTATTCTATTTTTGATTGAAAATCCTGCAGCTATGGCGGTTCTAACATTTTTCTATTCTAACATAGTCTATGGTGTTTTTGTTTTTAGGTACCTTGCTGATAGATAATTTAGACCGTTTCTAATCTAGTTGTATACAGCTGAATGGAATACAGACCTGATTACGTTAGACAATATCGAACACTAATCTTTAAAACCAAGACACATCTTAGAGTATATAACAAATTTCGCATTCATCTATGATAGGTACTATTATATATTAACCTAGCTGTGCCTCACGGTGTTACCCGTAGTTGATCATCCCGGGATAAATTTTTTCCAATTTAATCCAGGGTGTCAGCTACCTCCATGCCAAATTTTATCAAAATTTGTCAAGCTGTTTGAGCATGAAGAAGTTACAAACAAACATGATTCAGACTACTAAAAAAAGTAATCGAAATAAAGGAAAAAAATCTTTCACATTTTCCTTCAACTTACTATTTACTTGAAGTCATACTCGTATTTGATACTTTAATATTATTCTTTTCTCCTATAGTCTTATTTATATATATATATATATATATATATATATATATATATATATATATATATATATATATATATATAACCTTATTCCCGCTAACATCTACACAGTAATTCAGTTGATCCTTATTAAAATAGATTTCCAATAAGATTTTCGAATAAAATTAGTCTCCACACTCTGAATTTCTCGTGGAACTAATGAAGGCATAAATTTGATTTCTATCGCTCGTGCTCGGTAACAAGGCCGGAGGCGGTAGGGTGTGCTTAAGTTCAATGGTTCCAAATGACGTGGCTCGGATTGTCGGCACATTGTCGACTACACAACCCTCGAAATATAGGCCTATATAATATATAGATACATAAAAATATTTAGTGCGAATTAGTTTCATCCGATTTTTAATAATGGAAGTTATAGCGAAAAACCATTCACTTGATAAATTTCATCATGTCATTCGTGTGATCATGGAACTTGATGATTTTTTTTTGTAAATGAGCATATGGGTCATTAATACACGTATCTAGTAACTACCGCCGCCATAAAAATCATAAGCGCGTTGCAGGCCTTTGAGCTACAGAGTACGCTCGTTTCGACTTCGTATCGGTCCGAAAACATAATACGTAAAACTTTAAATGATTAAAGATTAAAAGTGAAAGTGTTAAATAATAAACAGAAT